GTAGTAGTAGTCGTAGTCGTAGTCGTAGTAGTAGTAGTGTTAGTAGAAGTAGTAGTAGCGTAGTCGTAGTGGTAGTCGTTGGGGTAGTTGTAGTGATATTGGTAGCGCTAGCGGTAGTGGTAGCTGTAGTGGCCGTGGCGGTGGCGGTGGTGGTAACGGAGCTGCGGCGGTGGCTTTGGTCGAGGCGGTGGGGTGGGGGTGGTTTATATAAGAATTCATTGTAACTCTTTTTGGATTTTAAATTTTAAATGAAAAACGAAGCAGAAAAAGGAAAGACTCAGGTTTCCAAATAAAAGTTACAAATTTCTGAGGGATGTAGAAGGTCGTTTAACCAATGAACATGAAATAGGAATCTTATCATGCAACTTTGTTCAGCAGGTAACCGAAATACCTTTCACTGCGACAGAACGCACAATGAACACAAGTGCATTGGTGACAACTTAATGGCAGGGACAATTGCCTTTCATTTTTTACTTTATGGGGGTTATTAAGGCCATCATTCATAAAATTATAATATTGTCTAGTTTAAGATATCATACAATTGTGGAGTGCCAGCAACATCACCTAGAAACTGTATATCTGCTAGGAGACAGTGCATCTAAATGATTAATTAAATGTTCATTAATATATAAGATGATAATTATTAATTATTATCAATAATATTATACGTGGTGATAAGTTATGTACATTTCCTTATGCACAATCAGTAAAAATATCCTATTGCATGGAGATTTGTGGTCTAATTATAACTTTACAATATCAACATTACTTTTCATTTTCATAAACGTGGCAATGTGGTGACACAATTATGAATATTAAAGTGATTAACAATTCTATTGAGTTTAAAATTTAATTGTTTGAAGCAAAAGAAAATTAAATATTTGTTTAATGTTATGAATTCGTTGTTTCGAGCGGGGGTAACGATATATATATATATATATATATATATATATATATATATATATATATATATATATGTATATAGTTTCTCACTCATGCCTTTCGCATTTCAACGCACGAACACATACAAGATGGGATTAATTAATTTCCCCACCAGAGGTTCGAGATTTTAAAAATATTACAACGGTAAAATTAAAGAAACTGCGTGTAAGTGATAAGTTGAATGAGTAAAAATGATGTGCTCACTATGTATCATAAAAATAAAATTATTTAATTAATCCAGGACAAGGTAACGGTACCGTTTTTACACCTACAAGTGCTAAGCAGCCATTTAACTAATTAATATGTTAATAAATTTCTTACTGTTGCAGCTTCAATTTCCAATTCAAAAATTGGAATCAAATACTTAATTTTTCATAAATGTATAAATATTCTATTTTCTTTTGCATACAATTATGTTTAAGGGCGGTATAACACATTCAAGGTATTTAAAATTTGTTACTTGTTCTATAGGGTTCTCTAGTTTTTAATGATTATTTTGAATGTATCATTTTCTTTCCTTTCATTTCCATCTTTTTTCTATTACTTTCTGGCCTATACGTATGTAAGAAGAAAAGATGTAATCGTACGCCAAATAACAGCGAATCAGCGAATTTTCGAAAAAACTTTTAATGTCGGGTCTTAGTGACCAAAAAATAGATAAATCCGCTTCCTAAATATAGTAAATTACTTCCTCTAATCACGTGTTGTAACCAGACCACATGTTTGTGGGACCTTACTACCGAAAAATCGATTGACGGCAAAGCTTCTGCCTGCCGTAACGTGGTAAACACTAGCGCGTAAAACGAACTTTTTTCACTAAAATGAACATTTCTCCAGCCATTTGAACGAATTTGACGCTTTGGAATTTTCAAACGATTATATTGATTGTTGAGGGTACTTTACTTGAAATGAAACTTTACTTGAAATAATGAAGACTCAACATGTTAAGATTTCGCAGAAATACCATTTATCCCTGGCTAATACTTATTCCCTGTTTCGCGTCGAAAATGCCTTGTCGCGAGAGGTGATGGCGCTGGACATCCCTGCTTTCCGACATCGCTATCTTACGTTCATTTTCGAAACTGCGTTCTGTAGATCGAACTATGAATATTTAATTTATTTTATCGGAGAGCGTATAAAATAATGTAACGTCCATGGAGAGATAAATAGTATTAGTAGAGAGGAAAAAGACTTTCGTGAGTCCTGCTAGTGAAATTGAATTTTTTTTATTATTTATTATTCTGTTTATTTACAATCTGTTTTCTTAACAAACATTCAGTAAATATGTTAATTATGCATTAATTGAAGCTAGAGTACATCGTAGAAATCACTCAGCGTAGCACCACCTACCAAGAGCGGTTAGCCAAGCCAAGCCAAGAGCGGTTGAGTCCATCAGCCATCAATCTGCTGGATAATAGCGAGGAAGAACACCGACTGAAAAGATACCATATTCTGGAATTACCATTCCGTTTCAAACAACCCATGTGAAACTGAATTGACGTTAATTTTGGTAAACGTAATGTTTCTTTCAAGTTGCGTTAATATAGAATATGTTATTATAAAAGGAGCGTCAGGAGTGCGAAAGAAGGGCTCAGTGACAAAGTGTTGTTCTAAAACTCGTGTAGCGTGTTCGATTCCGAGTCTACGTACATATTTTATCCATTCTACACTGCCATAAAATCCGCCAAATTACAACAACCTACGTTTGTCTAGTCAATGTTATGCGTAATTTAGGCAAAACTCGCGATCATGAATAAGGAATGCAAACAAGAAATTCTAAAAAAGTGGTAATAGGGTCTGGACGTGCGAAATTGAGAACAAAATAATATAATCTTATAGATAATAATCTTAAATCGCGAATAAAAAGAATGTTAAAATCTTGCGTATTATTTTAACTTTTACTCGAACAAAACCATGAAGTTGCAGTCGCAGTTCTACTATACTAATACATATAAAATTCTAATTCCGTGCGTAGAGTCTCGTATGCTATTGATATATAATATGAATACAGATGATGGAACTGTTGACGTTATAACATGTTATAAAGCAATTACAATAATTTTTAATGTGACAAGGCTTTGAATTTGCAATGTCTACACTGAAGTAAATAAGGTGGTTTTGATGATAAATGTGTTTCATTGGTTCTGATGATGAATATTCCTGAGATCCCTTGCCTTAATGTGGGAGGTCCTAGTTATGTGGGTATCAAGATTTCGTAGCTGTAAAGTTAAAAAAATGAAAATACTATTTGTGGAAAACGAACTTTGAAGACGAAAATGTTCCTAGACTTTGTTTTGCTATTGAAGTTCTTTACAACATCAAACAAACATCTATTTCAGATGTATGTAGAATTCCACTATGTGTATTTACCGTTTTTTATGCACAAAAAATATAATACAGATTGCAAAGAAAAAATAATGTCATTTTTTTCATTTCAAAAACCATATCTACCAAAACTTAACTCTAAATATGACTGATTCTTGTTCAACATCAGATTATCAATTCTCCATATTAGTGATGTATTTTTGCTTGCTACAATATTCTAGTTCATAAGACAGTGGAATATTTATTTCTTTTGTTGAGAGAGATAATCGATTTTCTCTCGTAAGCCACGCGGTACTACCGACTTGAATATGTCCTTGGCAGTACTTCCGTGTTTTCGACTGCAGGTCAAAATGAGATAAGGGGCTCTGCAGCGTTGCCGCTTGGTAAGAAAAGAAAAGTAGTGGCTAAGCAAATTGAACTACTCCGTATTCATTATTCGA